TCTTTTTCTGACTGTCCTTTTTTTCCTTTCAGCCCCTGCCTTGTGTCTTTCTCTCTCCCTGTTTGGTGTGTTCTGTGTGTCTTTCCTCTTTCCCAGGCTCTTTGCCTTCCTTGTTCCCTCTCTGCTCTCTTCCCCTCCTCATCTCCCTCAGTTCCTCCCGCTTCCCTCAACTGGCCAGCAAGGTACTGGCATGTACAGTGGCTCTGTTCTGTTTAATATGTAAAAATTGACGTGGACCATTTTTATTTAAAACTAATTAACTCCAAGAGCCAGTGTACTCATTCCAAAATGCTTGTAGATGGTTGTCAAAAAATGTTTTAAATCCTTTATCCCCGTTCCTGCATTCACATCCCTGGAGGAAATTTACCTAGAACCCCATTCATCTAGCTGGTTCCTTCCAATCCCCAGGCCTTCCCTTCCCACTCCACCGCCACCACGTCAGTGACTGCCTTCTCTACCTCAGGTCTGTCCCCAGCTCCTTCCCTGGACTGAACCTAAATCATACCCCATCACATCTATTCTCTAAAACATCACAGGACTTGTGTAACTTTCCATGGTGAGCCAAGAGTCTCTCATTCTTCCATAACGTTTACCTTCATTTACTTCCTTTTTTACCTTTCCTAAGGCTTGACAGTTTACAAACTATTGATTTTGCTCTGAAGCTTATTTTTAAGATGCTCTTTTACATTCGGGAGTACTTCTTTTGCCTGCCTGGTTGCAAATAACAGGCTCCTCCAAGCGGAGCCTTCCCCTAGTCAAGGAGTGTTCCTTTGTGCTGCTCCTGCACATAAATCACCAGGGAGCTTCTAAATGAGAAAAGACCGGCTGACCCAGCAGGTGGTGCTTATAAATAGCCCTCCAGCTCCCCTCCTTAGAGCTTGTCCACCTAATCCTCTCCTCTCTCAAGATTGGAAGTGACTTGACCTTTGAGTCTTAAAACTCAGGCCCTTTTTCTCTGAAAAATCTGGTTGGCAAAAAGCTGCTAAAACAAAAATGTTTTCAGCCAGATGATGACCAGCCATCAAAGCTTGCCTTTCATTTCCATTTTCAGCCAAATGTGCTTCCTCTTTTGAGGACCAGCTTTTCTCGTTGTTATTATTTTAAGACATCTACCTCAATAATTTTTATTTCATTTCACAAACAGGCTAGCATGGATTTGTATTTTTATGATTTATAAAGTTATTCCCAAATGGCTGCATCTCTACCATGAACTATGAGCCTTCTTTTTCACCCCTGAAATTACAGAACTTGTGGAGGGGCTCTGAGTAGCCTCTATCCCATTGTCATTGGATGGAGCTCTGTTTTTATTTCTCTAATTTTGTATTATTTATTGAGGATAAAATCTTACAGGTCTTGTTAGGATAATAAATTGAAGCCAGCGATATAGACACTGATAGGCAGTTTTTCAGATTAGGATACATGCAGGAAATGCTTAATTGTTGAACTGACCAAAGATACTTTTTAATATATTTCCCAAAAAGATGGTTAAGTCCTTAACCTGATTATTTATAAAGAGAAGAGATGCTTATATTAGGGAGATAAACCAGGTATTTTTAGTAGCTTCTCTCCCTTGCTATAAAATGGAAGAATCTTAAATACACTATCCACTATCAGAGAACACTCTAATGTAAGACTTTTTCCCTCTCATCTCCTAGTATAGATTGAACAGTAAATACTGGTCCCAGCTTTTTTCTTTGCTGACCTGGGCCAGTGGCAGCAGTGATTGTTCTGGAGAATGAATACTAGGTCTGATCCAGCTGTTGCGTTGTGAGGCGAGCCCCTTCTCCAAGGCTTTTATTGCAGTGGTCTGGCTAGAATGCCCCGCTTGAATGTGAGCCTGGAACTTTAAAAGTAATTTTAGTTTTGTTATTTAACTTAAGAAAGTCTGGTGTTCAGTGTGGCTGTATTGGTACGAAATAGACTGTAGAGAAAGGATGAAAAACATGCACAAAGGAAGTTGAATGAGTGAGTTCTGTGCCTTCTGAAAACCTTGGGCTAAAATGTCTCAGGCCGTTCTGTTTATATATGAGCTCAGAGTAGACTTGCAAGACAAGTTGGGAAAGCTTTCTCTGAACATGTGGCGACCCCAAATGGGTAAGCATATTTGTAGTAATTAGAATTCTAAGATGTGACCTAGGCAAGTATGTATACTTTTTACTTGCTTTTGAATTTAGGTGTTACCAAAAAAAAGTAGTTTAGAAATATGAAGCAACTCTTCTCGTTGCTATAATGCAAAGCAGTCACTGCATCCCACTGTGGGAGGGAGGCTTCAGGAGGCTGCTGGAAAGAGGACTTGGTTGCTAGACAGCAAAAAAAAAAAGAGAGAGCGAGATACCTAAACTGTATCCACTGCATTTATCCAAAGCTCAGTCTCTCTACCAATCCTAACCATCTTTCTCATAGTTTGCCTCCATGCATGGATAATATTGATTTTTCTCTTCCTTTAATGATTTGTCCATTATTTTTTTTTAAATAAACAAAAAAGCTCGGAACTATCTTTTTAAATGTAATCCTTATTTTTATCAGAGTTGGATGTGTACATTGTTTGGGTCATAGTTCTACCCAGTTTCTCATGAAGAGCAGCATTCCATGTCTTCCCACTCCTATTTTCTGCTCCCCAGGGAAAACTATTTTCGATTCTTTTTAGCTGATTTATTTGGTATGTATCTTGATGTTTCTAAATAGCACACTGTGGCTGTCTTATGTTTTTTTAGGCATTTTTTGTTGACTTCACACTATGGAAAATGAGTTTTGTTCTTTCTTAACACTTTACACCTGACCACATGCATATTCTTCCTCCTCTATCCTCCCATGTTAATTGTGTTGGGTCCATAGTCGGTGTTTTTATTATTATGACTAAGTCAACACTGTTTGCAGTGCAGCCATGTAACATACTGTGACTACTGCTTTCTTCCAGTACCACCTTTGATTTTTTTTTTTTTACCTGATGTCAATAATTATCTTGGATTTTTATTCATTTGCTTAGATTTTCTGTACTTTCACTAATTTAACCCTCATCGCCCCTAATTGTATCAATCTTCTTTCCATATAAACACATTAGATATTCTATGAATTTCATCTGAGTGTTCTGACCTGCTCTTGTCTGGACCCCTAGTCACCTTCCAGGCCTGCTATTCTGGGGTCTCTTTCACCAAAAAGACCTTGGAGTCTTTTTTACTCCAAAGACACCTCCACCTGTCTCATGTTTTAGACGCCTTGCTTTCTGGATTCAGTGGCGTCCTCTTCTTTGGTGTTCTCTGTCGTTTTGACAGAGGATATTATCATTAGTTTCTTGAGAAAGTAAAGTTTTTTTTTAGTTTTGGGAATCTTGTCCCTGAGAATTTTAAAGGCACTGCTCCATTTTCTTTTTTTTGTATCCTACAGAGCCCCTATTGAAAAGTCTGTTTCATTCCAACTTTTTTTCCCCATTCTGATTTTGACCCATTATGTGACAATTTGTTTTCCTTCTGTAAGTTTCTCTTTAACCTTGACGTTATACAAGTTCACAATAATGTGACTTGGGCACTTGCTGGACCCTTTTAAATCTGGTACATTTTCTTGAATTAATTCATTGATGATTTCTTCTCTTTGTTTTTTTCTGTTCCTTCTCAAACTCCTACTAGTTAGATGTTGGACTTCTTGGACTGACTTCCAGATTTTGTGTCTTTACTCTCCTGTTTTCTATCCTTACCGTCTTTTTTTTTTTCTTTCTAAAAGTGTTCTTCAACTTTGTCTTCCAATCCTTGCAGAGTTCTTTGGTTCTGCTATCAAATGTATATTTTTCTAGAGTTCTGTTTTGTTCTCTAAGTGTTCTTTTTTACATTGGTATTATTGACTCACTTATTATATGGTGAACAATACAGAAGCTAGAAAATATATACTTAAGTTAGAAGATACTTTCTTTTTTTTTTAAGATTTTTTATTGGGGAATCGGGGGAGGGGAACATTGTTGGGGAATTGGGGAAGGGGAACAGCCAAGTTGTTGTCCTTTTGTTCTTCAGTCTAGTTGTGGAGGACGCCGTGTCACTGGCCCATGTTGGTATTATTGCGCTCTTCCTGGGTGAGGCAGATCAGTTGCCGGCCATTGGACAGCCACTCATGGCAGCTCATGAAAGCTCACGTCCACTGTTGGCCAGCCCCACTGCCGCCTAATCCGTTGCCGGCCACTCACGGCAGCCCAGCTCCAGGTGGAGCTGTTGTTCACGATCTTAGGTGCAGAGGATGCAGCTTACTGGCGCATGTGGGAATCGAACTGGTAGCTCCGCTGTTCAGAGCTTGTGTTTTTACCAACTGAGCCACTCGGCAGGCCCAGAAGATACTTTCTGACTGAGATTATCTGTCAGTTGACCAGCCTCAAAAGTTGTAATCTTGAGCCAGAGAAAAATCACCTAAATGTACAGAATTCAATTGTATATCCATTTTAGTGTCTGTATGCTGCCCCTGATTGTTTTTGTTTGTTGTTTTTAATGCTCTTTTTTAAAATTTTTCATCTTCCTCTGTAGTCTCTTTTTCCCTCTAAGTTGCTTTTTTTCTCTTTGTTTTGGTCTGTCTTTCTTAAAAATCTTTCTTGAGTTTCTGGTGATCCTTTGCTATATGGTCATATTTAAGAACAGGCCCCTGAAAAGCTACTTGAGAGCTCTGGGCTGCGAGTAAAACGTAGGGACTGTGATCTTTACTGCACAGTGATCTGCCTGCGTCGATTCCTGGGATACTTGTCATATCTGTTGCTTTAGGTGTTTTATCTTGGCTGGTCAGATCCTGTTGGAAAATGTAAAATTTTGTTCATTTTCTCTTTCTTGCAATTTCTAGATGTGTTACAGTCTTTGGGTTCTTATGCTGTAGATAAAAATATCTCTTCTGAGTTTTATGCTTCTTCCTTTAGATGGGTTTTGGACTTTCCTACACATTCTTATTTGCTTTCATGGGCACTTAGCTGTTAGACCAAGTACAAAGTAGGAGTCACTTTCAGTGCCTTATTTTTCCTTAATGTATTTGATCAGAAACTGGATGAACCTTCGAGATGCTGAGACAGGGAAGATACTCTGGCAAGGAACAGAAGACCTGTCAGTCCCCGGAGTGGAGCATGAAGGTACTTTCCCACCCTTCGAAAGCACTGGGCTATGACAACTGGAGGACAGAGCCTAAGCACCCAGGAGCTAAGTCAGTGCAGACCCAAGTGGAGAGCAGGCCCTGGAGGCACAGCACGCTGATCCAGGGGTTGCAAAGATTTATATTTCCTTTCTTAGGCTTCTGTCTCCCACTTCCCAAAACCCACTTTGTGTGGAAATTTTAGCATTAGAACATACCCAAAGATATAAACTAAGATTTCAACTTATTTTTTTCCAAAGTAAAATTTGCATTTTTATCTCCCTGAAGTAAAAGAAAAACTAAGGGCTTAAAAGCAACAGAACAGAGTAGAGAGAAGGTGCCCATTCAGCCCCTTTCCTGATGAGCGTCGCTAGGTAAGGCCCTTAGATGCACTAAATCTGGTGTTCCTTGAAGATCTTTCAATCAAACACACTTGACCAGTTGGGGACCTCTGCCTTTAATTAAAAAGTATAATTCTGTTACCAAGGCACTCTCTGCAATTTAGCATAGATAATGAGTTCTCTAAATCAGCTCCCAGACACTTGAAGCACCATAGTCATGTGGTTTTCATTTAGAATGGCTTCAATATTTCTTTTTCTTTACCAGCTCGTGTCCCCAAGAAAATTCTCAAGTGCAAGGCAGTGTCTCGAGAATTGAACTTCTCTTCAGCAGAGCAAATGGAAAAATTCCGCCTGGAACAAAAAGTTTACTTCAAAGGGCAATGCCTAGAAGGTATTCTGCTGCCTCCATGCCTAAAATCCAGGCCTAGAGCGACAGGGACACAAGACCAGTGAACTAACTAAAGCACTGCTTTGATAACATTCATTTTGCAACTCAGTTTGTGATAGGGTTTCTACACCCTGCAAGATTGAGGACCTCCAGTGAAAACAAACAAAAACAAAGCTGGTACTAAAAGGGGCTTTGAGCCCAACAAGAGGCTTTCTGACACTGTGGGCCGAGGATTGGTGCCTGCTTTGTCACTGATGTGGCATTGTGTCACGGTCACAAGGAAGCTGCCGACAAGGGCCTGGTACAGTGCTCTCCAGACAGCGTACAGATTTGACTGGCAGGGCCACTCTGCACTGAGTTTTCACCTTGAAGCGTAAGAGTGCACATGTGTGTGAGAGTTCCAATTCCAAGTGAGCAGGTCTATTCTGTACATCTATTTATAACTTACATCCAACCCTCTTCTAAGAAAACGTTGCTTATATTGCACTCGCCCACTGGCCCTAGTCCTTTAGACCCCAGAGCGTAGGGAGAGGCCTCTGGGGTGGCTCAGAGGACAGCTCGAAGGGGAATTCCGTGTCCTTTTCATGCCTCTGGCCTGAGAGGTTTCTGATGGCTTCATTGGTGGTTCTCAGGGTAAGAAGAGGCTCACTCTAAAGGAGGGGGACAAGGAGCCCTGATACTATCAGGGCGCCCGCTCACCCGCTTTTCCTTCTCCCTTCAGAATGGTTCTTCGAGTTTGGCTTTGTGATCCCTAACTCCACAAACACCTGGCAGTCCCTGATAGAGGCAGCGCCCGAGTCCCAGATGATGCCAGCCAGCGTGCTAACGTGAGTGAGCAGGCCTTAGCATCGTGGAGTGTGTCTAGAAGCCGGCATTCCGGGCAGGCAGGACTCGTGGTCCCGTTAAGCGGGCGGGCAAGCGAGGTGAAAGTGAGGGTTGAAAGAGTTTACCGGGTGATCCGAGTTTACAGGTCACTGACTTGTCATATGAAAAAGACAGTGTGATAGAATGGGAAGAATAAAAACCTTTAGACTAGACCTTTAGACTACATTCCTGATTAACCCTGACTAGTTGTATAATCTCAGACAATGTACTTTCCCTCTCTAAACATGGAATGAGTAATGCTCTCTCACAGAGGTATAGTGAGGACAAAGTGAGATGACATGGAAGGAAACTGGCACATAATTAAAATATATTAAATCCATGCTAATTTCCTCCCTTTCCTGACTATCAAACTTCTGGTTCTCTGTTTAAATGGCCTTTAACAGAATCTGGCAAAGTCCTAATTCTGTTTTAGAGGATAATGTTTTGTTACAGTTTTTCAGAGACTAGCTTTCCATTTTAATAACTGTACTTCCTGCACAAAGAATAATTAGTTTGTCCTTTATCCAAAAACACTGTCAATAACGGCCCACCCACCATTTTCTCTTGGGAAAATATAGTCTTTCAAAGGTTTAAGCAATAGTGCTTAGTAACAATTTATTCACTTAGATAATTGTGTAATGTTAGATCATCTCATTAAACAGGTCCTTTATGAAAACCACATTGAATTTGTAAATAGAGGTTATTTACTTTTTCTTTAATAGATTTCTAATTAGAATAATAGGTATTTTTATATTCTATGAACCAATCAGATCTTGAGTTCCTTATTTACCTTTTTTATAAGTAACTGCCAGCAAAAATGTATCTGCTGGCTATTAATGACCCTGGGAAAGTACAATGTAGTCTGTAGAAGGGCATTTTTTAGATTTTATTAACCTTAGTTTGACTTCTTTTTGGCCAGGCCTGATTTCTTTTAGGTGCTAAAACCAGTAAGTCTATGATAATCTATTTAGGTTATTGAAGTCATGTCTTATTTTTTAGAACCCAAAAACAGTACCTCTGCTGCCCTTAACTCAGTTCAAAAGTGGTTTGGTTTGGAAACACTGAGATATCCACCAAAGAAAATGAAATTCTACTCTGCCCAATGCAGGTGTATCATTTGAGGGTCTTTGGTTGCAAGCCGTAGAAACTGATACTGGCCAACATGACAGAGTTGAAAGAGTAGGGCTGAGCGCTGGGGCAGCTCCAAAGATATGGATGGCAGGAACCTTTGGATGGTTTCCTCAAGGAGCAGCCATAGGAAGTATCCTGCTCAGAGAAGAGAATCTGATTAGCCTAAATTACATTCAGCGCCCACCCCTTTGCCAGGTGAGGGAAGGGCCATTTGATTGACCTGTGGACTGGAGATATGTGGTTCCCCAAAAGAAGAGCAGAGTGCTGTTACCCAAAGTGAGGAAAATAGATGCAAGACAGGCCAACTCATGGCCGAATGGTAAGGAAAGATACCACCCCTGAAGTCTGCAGGTTTCTATGTGTATCAGAAAGTGAGTTATATTTACAAGCACCCCTGTGTGCAGAGCACTCTACTAAGGGCCTTAAGTGTACCAAGGATTGAGACATGCTCTCTCTTCTGATTTCCCGACTTGAGGAAGACAAACCTAGTCACATAAGTTAAATGTCATATTAGACTTCTAACCCCATATGGACACAGATTTTATGTCCCCAAGCCAAGGTTCTAGGTGGGTGCATGTCCGGGGATCCAGCAGACCCAGATTGAAACTACTTTGTGAAAATGAAATCTGTTGCCTAACACATCACTCTTTTGCCCTCTCTTCTTACTTATAGTGGGAATGTTATCATAGAGACAAAGTTTTTTGACGACGATCTTCTTGTAAGCACATCCAGAGTGAGACTTTTCTACGTTTGAGAGAAGAATGTATGTGCATTTCAAGAATTTGGGTTTTTTGGGGGGGAAGGAGGAAACTGTTTACTTATTTCCTCCATACATTTGATTTTTGACACTTCCACCCCTAATTCCCTCTATGACAAAACCCACCTGAGGCCATCAGGGGACCAGCTCTATGTAGGTAACCAGATGGCATTTTTCCCTCAAGCCGCCATCTTCCACTGACCAGACTTAACTCCCCACCTCGGACCAGGGCAGAGGGCATGCCTCGACTCCTTCCCAGGGTAAACACAGGGACAGACACGTAGCACGAGCTGATGCTGTTCCTGTCACCCTCCCTGCCTCTTCCTTCAGGGGACACATCTTCCTTTGGCCCCTGGTTTTGGAAAAATTCATGTTCTTGACCCATGTTTAGTCTTTTCCTACTGTTTCTATTTCATACATTCTCATACATTTAACTTGTAAAATAGTCTGTGATATTATTATTACATAAGGAATTGAAACATATGAATTAAAATATTCCTACAGTCTTTAGCATGGCACTGCTTTCATCTCTCCTTTTTCTGGAACATGAACCTGGCTCCATAATGGGACAAAAGACCTTTATCAGACCGTAGGATCACAACTGTGTTTTACTCGAGATTGACTAATAGATCTCGTGGTACCTGAGTCCTTCAGTTCCTGTTTCCCAAGAACGTAAAGCATCCCTGAACAGGACCTCTGACCTTAACTTTGTCTTTTAGACGTGATAGTTAGTGTTCTCTTCCACAATATACATGCACCCTTTGTTTGTTTGTTTGTTGTTTTTAGTTTTTTCCATTCCTTTATAATGTGCATTTCTTCAAGAGGTTTCCAGAAAGGGTAGAAGTTCTAAGTTGGTAGAGTAGGGACTCATATTCCTAAGTGAGAGAATAGAAGTTAGAAAATGAAGAAAAGATCTCCCTGAAGTTAACTGTGATCACTGGGAACACATCCAGGATGGGGTGGGATGCTAGGAGGCTTTAAAAACCACCATCAGAGGAAGCCAGCATGGGAGAGAAGTGATGATTATATCTGCAGTGCTTTCGAGTCTGACATAAGAGAGAAAATTTAAAAGGGTTCTTTTTTAGGAACTTAACCTCTCACCTACCAGTAGCCTTCATTGTCCTTTATAAAATACCAACAATTAAAAGTTTCTCAGTTCCCAAAATAGTATGGTCTGAGGCTAGAGGAGAGGAGAATACACCGAGAGACAGGCAGTCCGTGGTGTAGCCCCTGCTCCCGCATCCTGCTCTCGTGTCTGTTACTGAAGGGACTGTTCGCATCTGTGGATGGGGAGTAGTACATTTTTAGTATAGTGTTGTCATCTTTCAGTGACAATTCTGTTCCTCACGTTAGATCTGTTGTCTTGAAAAGCTAACTTTTAATTACCAAAGATTAGATTTAAAAAAAAAAAGGCAAGGGAAAAATGAATCAAGGTTTCCTTTTGCTTTCTGAAAATGCCATCTCTTCTCAGAATGAACCCGTCTCTGTTTCCTTTGCTTTTCCTGAACCACATCTGCTCCCAGAATTCCATCAGGGAAGGCTGTCATGGGACTGGACACAGTCTAATGGAGAGAGGACTTCCCAGGGAATGCTTTTCCACCTGCTCAGAGCCCCCTTCACCGCCCTTCTCCAGTCACTCATCTAGCCAAAACTGTCAGGGACACCCTTCTTTGCCAGCTGCTCTGAGAAAAACAAAAAGTATTATATAACCCTGTCACTCTTAGAAGCTTACCCTCTCTTTAGGTAACAATACATATGCTCAGGAAATATTTATCATTTTAGCACGAAACAAGGCAAAAAAGCGCATGCTTCATTTCCAGTGCTGGCCAAGGGTTCCCAAGCTGTGCAGGTGGGGTCCAAGCTATCTAGGAAAATGGCTGAATGCTGCATGGTGGGAGGAAAAGGGCAGTGATGCAAGCCAAGGTGAACACAAGCAAAAGGCGAGGTCATGGGAGCTGCAGGGACTAGGAACCTGGGTAGGTCAAGGTGAGCCCTTGTAGGGTGGATGCAGGTCCAAATGCCTGAACATCTGAAGGTTTTCTGGAGATGTTCAAGTCCACAGAATGGTATTGGAAGGAGATGCATACAGACCGGGTGCGTACAGCCACTAGCTCTCAAACACTTATGGGACCTGCCCCATCCCCCAAGATTCTGATTGAGACATCTGCCTGGGGAAGCACCCTGGTGATCCAGATGCAGCTGGCCTGTGGCCCACACTGAGAAATCCTGGTAGAGCCCTTAGTTTACACGGCGGCCATAAGATAAGGTCTCCAGGCAGCATTCTTAAGGAACAAAGCGGGGCCCCAGTCTGACCTGTGCAGGCTGAGGGGAAGCGTTCGGTTGTGCAGTGCAGTCAGTGTGACCTTCAGAGTCTGTGTGGGGAGGAGAGGACAGAAGAACCCCAGGCAGCACAGTCTTGGAGAAAGATTTGGGAGAACTCAGACCCTTCCGGACGTACATTTCTATGTAGACGGTTTTGGTTAAGGTTTCCAGTGTGATGTGCCCTAGACCTGCTCGCTCATCCAACTCCATCTGTGTTACTTGTTTGGAGCGCTGGACTTCAGTGATGGGGCATGTGGTGAAGCAGTGAGTCCAGTCCTCACTGGGCATGAGGGGGTTGGAGGAAGCAAAGTCTACCCAAGGGGATCTAGCCATGCTCAGGTCACACTTCTAGGCCTATGATGCATATCAGTGAGATGTCATGCGAGGCACAGGCCTGCTTTAGTGAGCTTTGTCTCTAGTGGAGGGCTATGACAAGTAATTATAAATGCCTACCATAATGGAAGGTGGAAATTTAAAAAGAGATTATACATAACTCAGAAAAATCAGGAAAGCCCTCTCTCTTCTCTGGTTCCTTCAACTCTCATTCTACCAGACATTTCAGTCACCTCAAAAAATAAATACATTTTTAAAATAAGGCTTTCCTTTCGTCCTGTGTCACCTTCAGTTCTTGCTCTGTCCTTCTCTTTCTCTACAGATCCAGGCTTCCTGGAACTGTTCACTCACTCTTTCCACTCCCTACCTCATTCACAGTTCAACCCACTGCTGTCTGACTCTGGCCAGTGGACTCCTTCGAGACATCAGTGAGCTCCACTGATCCACTGCCCCTCAGGCCTCCTTGCTGTAGCTGCTCCATTGCATTTTTTTTACTTCTCCCAGAAATTCTCTTCTTGGATTCCAGGAGCCCCTTTCCTGGGTGTTCTGCTCCTTTTTCCTTTGCAGGAGCTTAATTTCTTATAGCTGCCTTGGTGGATTTGGGGTTTCTCTTTTAGCTATTGTGTATTGAGAACATGCTGTGTGCACATTCTTTAAACATTATACATTCACCTCACGCATAGTGACTGAGCACTTTTTATGTACCAGACACTGTTCTAAATGGTGGAGATATTTGCTGGACAAGATAAGTGAAGGCCCTCCCATTAGATTCTAATGAGAGGAGACAGAAAGCAGATAATTTCAGATAGTATGCAGCGCTCTGAAGAAAACAGGACAGGAAAATGGCAGCATCAATCTGGAGTGAGCAGGTGAAGAAACGGAAAGAAATCAGCAGCGAACAGCTTCTAATCACCAAAACAGGACTGATGAGTCCTCAGTAGGCCAACAGCCTGGAAAGCCAGGCTCTACTCGAAAGAAGAGCTTTTTTTTAAACCTTAAAACTATCATCAACAAAACAACAACCAGGTGTGCATACTTGATTGTCTAGTTTCCTACAAAGAACTCGGGATATGATAGGAAAGGCCCTGCATCTTCCAGCCTGGCATAGTATGGAGAGAAGGGAGAAAGCAGGACAAAGAGGTCCTTGCTCTCCTTCATCCCCCAGGCGTGGGTGGGAGGCGCGGGTAGAAACACCTGTGCAGGTGTGGGGGAAAGACGAGAACTTCTGGAGTTTAGAGGGGAGGGTGGGCTGCCCACTGTCCAGTAGGCCGAGGCCTGTTTTGTCTTCGTAAGCATCCCCTGCACTGTCCTCCATGCCCACTCTCCCTGCCTCATTTCCTATAAGCATCTGGGCCCTGTCCAGCCGATGGCACTGGCTCCCCTTCTGAATTGTCCTTCACATCACAACCAGAGAGAGCCCAAGATGTGCATCTGACCACCAATCCCTCTGTACTGTCAAGTTTATTTTTAGAGCTTCTTGCTATTGACCTGGTAATTGCTTTGCAGCTTTCAAAATGCCCTGTTAAAATGGTCCTCAAAATGAAGACATCATCTGGCTTAGTTCTTTTTGGTGATTTTATTTGGTCCAAAACTGAGCAGCTTTGACTATAGCTTTGAATAGGCTGAGGGGTAGAATGGAGTAGAGTAGTGAGAGGTAGAGCCTGGTGAATACATCTGGTTCTCAAACTATACACCAAGGCACCCCAGAGTACTGCAGCAAACTCACAGGAGTGCTGCCGGATCTTTGAAGCATAGTACACGGGACATCTGTCATGCACCGTTCCAACTGTTAGCTCAAGATAGTTCAGTTTCAACATTAGAACACACTCCATCCTTCTTCATGAGGTATCTTTGGGAAACCGGGTTTTTGAAGGTTTGGGTTATAAGAAGCAAGTACCCCTCAAAAATCATTGTGAACAGGAAATGAGGGTGGTGGTGTCCAATCTGATTCCGAGGTTTGAGAAGCTGTGCAATGCCCAATAGGCACACACCCCATTTAGTAAGCCATTGTAATTATAAATGAAATAAAAATTTTTCTCTCAATTTATATGGCTTTTTTTCACCAAAATAATAAAGCAGCCACTAAGTTACGACATAAATACTTAAGAAGTTATTTGGACCTTACTATTTAATGAAGGGAATCATTAGTTAGTTTTGGCCATGAAAAAATTGCACCATGAAATGTTTTGGTTGCACCATGAAAAAATTAGAGACACTAAGGATGCAGCGAGTAGGGAAAGTCTGATGACCTCTTTTAAGCCCTTCGTTTTAAAATATGCGTTTCAGGGCTGGCCTAGTGGTTCAGTTGGTTAAGAGCGGGAGCTTTAAGCAACAGCGTCGCTGGTTCGATTCCCACATGGGCCAGTGAGCTGCGCCCGAGCTGAGCTGCCGCTGAGCTGCCAACAGGTGGCCAGATGGCTCAGCTGGTGAGAGTATGGTTTCTTAACAAGGTTGCCAGTTCAACTCCCTCATAGGATGGTGGGCTACGCCCCTAAGATTGAACTGGGCACCTTGAGCTGTGTGGCCACAAGCTGCCGAAGGGTGGCCAGATGGCAACTGGACTTGGAGCTGAGCTAGCTGCGCCCTCCACAACTAAGATTGAAGGACAACAACCTGGCTGTTCCCCTTCCCCAGTTCCCTAATAAAATACTTTTTAAAAATAAATTAAGGGCCGGCATAGTGCATTGGGTAAGAGCTGGCTTGGGATGCCAGAGGGCCCCGGTTCGGATCCCACATGAGGGCCAGTGACGTTGCACCCTCCACAGCTAAGATGCTGAACAACAGCTCGACCTGGAGCTGGGCTGCCGTGAGTCACCGGCGACGGTTAGGCTGCAGCCCCTGCTGCAGTGGGTTGCCATGGGCTACCGTGTGTGGCCGGTGGCCAGCAGCCACTGTGAGCAGCCATCCAGAAGCCGGCGACTGATCTGCCTCACCTGGGAAGAGCGCAATGAGATGCCAGCTTGGGCCAGTGAAGCAACATCCTCCACAACTAGACTGAAGAACAAAAGGACAGCAACTTGTCTGTTCCCCTTCCCCCAATTCCCCAGCGCTGTTCCCATCCCCCAATTCCCCAATTTAAAAATAAATAAAATATGCTTTTCAGAGTGTTAGAAACAGACATCACCACCTCTGGCAGCAACAAGTGGGTGTTAACCACCCACCTCTGCATCGAGGCAGCTCCTGGTCCCATGGAATGCTTTTGAATTCTTGTACTTATTAAATATATTCAAAGAAAAAAAGGCATTTACTTAGATTTCTTAGAACAGCTTTTTAAGTGACTTGATTTATTCCAATCATCCCCCAAATAGCTCTTCTCAATTATAAGAGGATAAGCAAAATTATCATCACTTGAATTTTTAATTTATATTATAGCTATCACTTTCATTTTGGGCTAACGTATGTGCATTTGAGCTAAACAATTTGCTCTCAGAATCCTTTATGGTGCACAAGGTACCCATATAATGGCACTGTATATGATCAGTCTAACTAGTTAGAGAACTTGGGATTTTATTTTACTGTTTGATGTTATTACAGAGGTTGATAATGGTCATTTCTTTCATGCCACGTTGTTGGCTACAGATATCGATTACTCAGGGCCCGGCCCGTGGTCAGGATTGGAATCCAAATTCCACCTCTCGCAGCAGATATCTACCAACTTTTAATTGGCTTATCTTCAGCAACAGTCATTTGGTACAATTAGGCTAAAGTCACAATCCGTTTTTCTTGCAGGTTTTTCTTGCAGGGTTTACATTCACGTTAAAGGTAGACATTTTATGACATTGAAATGGTTTTATGACCATAGTGATCCTCACACCTTTCCAGGCCCTAATGATACCCTTTAGCACAGAATCCTGGGACCTCAGTTGTGGATTTGGGAGGAGACACACCATCATTTGCTGAGGAAACCTTTTCCTCTGCCCACAGGCACTTCCTTGGCCTCCCTGGGAGGCAAGTAGCCACTGGAAGTGCCACCTCTAAAAAATGTCATTGCATAACAGGAGGCTAACCATTTCGCGTTGGGTCCCTGTTTGTGATTTTAGCAGACCCCTTAGGCAGAGCAGGAAATAAAACTCCCACCCACCTAATAATGGGACCCATTTGATGCCAAGGTGAGGAAATGTTCTTTCTTCAAAATGGATTGAGACCACATTGTGTCCAAGGAAAGGAATGAGCAGCTCCTGGGGGGGGGGGTGCTTACTAAGAGGTTGACTAGTAGAGGAGCCTCAAAGCTCTCGAGGGACAATGTTGACAAAGAGATCAGAATTGTAGAATCCACTGTCACCTCCCCCAAGGGACTGGAACCCATCCTTCCTCAGCACTTTCAAGACTAGGTGACTGCCCAGCAGGCCACAACCCTGGGCTCCAGTGAAAACCACAGGAATCAGACTTGGGAAATTTTGGGGGGACTGGAGAGAGGGACCCAGACAATAACTATGTGGGAAGGGGTAGAAGTTTTCCTAGGATACAGAATGGAGTTGCAGATGAATTTCTAGGTCCAAAAATTATGTGCATATTTTGGATCTTGATATATAGGGTCTTTCCTGAAAGAGTTGTACCAGTTTCCACTCTTTGCTGTCCTCCCACCTCCTGATACCAGTCACCTCCTGGGCTGTGTTGACAAGGAGCACATGAGCATGGGCTTGAACCCTGCAGACGCAGAAACCTGCAGGAGGCCTGTGCAGGGAGGGTTCTAAGAGGCAGATTGTAGAACTGGTTCCCAAAAGCATCTTTGCCCATCATCTGTTTAGTTCAGCAAATATTTCCTGAGCCCTGGTGAGGGTCGTCTTGTGCAAGTTCAGCTTTTTCTGGGCACTAACATCCTTCAATATGTTATAAGGATTTCTGTGGAAAAAAATCAAGGTCAACTAAACGTGGGGCAAGCTGCATGTTAAACCTTCCTCTTGGAGACTCCTTGGTATAGTCAAGACCCAGTGAGTTCTGCAGAAAGCAAGCCCTTTTAACATTCCTTACCCCAGCACTTCACCAAACAGGATGGCTCTCGCCTCTTAGGCACAGCTTTGGACAGAGACATAGGAGGTGCCAGGCTACATGAAGATGGGGGTCTCACCCCTTATCCAGCAGCCTCAGAGCAGTCGAGTTAGTTCAGTGACACTGTGTGTGACTGTGAGGCATGGGTGGGAACACTGGAAATTCAGTGTGTCCTTGCGAGGTCAGAGGACCAGTGATCACTACGTGCTGGAGAAGAGGGAAAGGGGGCTGTAGGCGGGGTGCCAGGTGGGCAGCTCAGATCGCCCTGGGTCAACCCCCACAGCTGGGCTGGGAATGAGCCATGCAGTTCTCTGTGATCCTGTTGAGAGAGGACCCATGAGCTTCACAACCTCTTCTGAAGCCAATTCACCTCCCTGTTCCCTCTCAACCTGGAAACCACACCAAAGAAGGCATTCCCCACACCTCTGCACTCCTCTCTTTTCAAGCTGTCTGTTCACGGAGGCCTGGTGGGCCTTGGAGCCTGGAGCCCTTTATTCTCCTGTTTACTGATATGACTCAGTAATGGAGGACAGAAAACCTACTTGAACGAACCTAAGTTAGGAAGAAATTTACTGACTGTTATAACTGAAAAGTCCAAGATTGGTCTGGTGTCAGGCGCAGTTAGAGCCAGGGGCTCAAAGCCACATTATCAAAGCTTGGTATTCCTCTACCTTGTTACTCAGCTCTGCTCCCACTTGTGTGGGCTGCAGCCTCAGCTTCTCAGCTGCCTAAGTTCAAGTCCCCAAAGGGACAAAAACAAATATTTCCTCCCTCCCCAGAAACTCAAGTCAAAATCCCAGGGCTCACTATGATTGGATCAGCTTGCATCATGTGTCAACTCGAAGCTAATCAATATGGCAGGGGTGCGGGGGACTCGGTCCTGATAGGCCAGGACCAAGTCACATGTTTTGCCCCTGGGCTTGACTGAGAGTGGGGGAGGGGAAGTTCTCCAGGAGGAAAACTGGACACTGTTTCAGGGGATTATTGCCAAGAGCAGGGTGAAGAGATGGTGGCTGGTGTCAGGAACAATAGCTGTCCCCTGGTACCTTCTGGTGAGGACCAGCAGCTCCTTGCTGCAAGGGATCTGCTCCCTGCAGAGCCTCACAGCTGATCCACCCCGCCCCTGGCATGGGTGCAAGTGAAATGAGGTTGTCTCAAGTGACCACCTGGTACTTGTTGCTACGGGCAGCAGACTTGACAGAGAGCCCATGCAGGCACCTACATTCCGAGCTGGTTCCCTTGACTGTGCCCAGGACTTGACAGAATCCGCCCCTGCCACTGCCTGCTAGGCCTTCTCATTCACCCAGTATATAAGGTCAATGTCCCAGGGGGTATTAGAATGTTTCAGCCTGTGTTTCCTAATTTGAACTTCCATCACATCTGAGCTCAGATCAGACCCTGTGGGCATAGGCTGAGGTCTCTGGTGGGGAGGGCCTGGGGACAGCCCTGCCCCCTTCCCTGTCTGGCCTGAGCTTGGGGTTGGGGGAGGACAAACAACCACATTGCAAAATTGGACTATCCCAAGTAAAGCTAGGACCAGGGTTTCTATCCCCAGGAAGTAGCTTCCACCAGGAGGGGACCATGGGGTAGCCAGGGGCCCGAGACCAGTAGGGCTGACCCGCATAGAGGACACAGGAAGCCACAGAGGATGCCTGGCAGAAGCAGGGTGGGCATCAGGGCCCTGGAGGGACTGGGATCTAGGAGGCCTTTGGACCCCTGGGCCGGCACTGACAGCGGAGGAGAGGTGACACCAGATCCTGGCTCTCAGGCCTGGGGTAGCCTGGCAGGCAGCTCAGAGAGTGCCAGGGAGTGCAGCTGAGTGGCCCCGCCCCCAGTCCCTGGCTCCAAACAGCCTAGGGGCCTGGGGCTGCACTCAGGGCAGCAGCCACTGTGAGGAGTCCAAGGCCCAGAGATGACCAAGAGTTGGGCCTCCCTAGGAGGACACTGTGCACGTTGAACGTTTGAATGGGGCTAAGCAAGAGGGAGTCCAGGGGGCCGGTGACCTCAGAGGAGCCGACCCTGGCCTCAGCTCTGGGGAGGTCTCAGGTTTCCCA